GATATTTTCCTTAGTATTTTAAATATATATATAAAAATACCCAAACACACACATATGCATATATAAAATCCTGAAAAATTTCCTCCTCCCCTCCATAAATTCACACAATCTTTTTCAGTCCTTTTCTTCCACAGTGTCTCACAAGAATTTTAAAGAAACAGTACACATTTCCTCACAGGATATATAAGGTATACACTGCAAAGTGGGGCAAAGGAGCAGGAATTCTATATTACAAATAGTAAAGCTTTAAAAATATCAACAAAGCAGAACATTCTAACATAACAAATGAAGAGCTCTACATTAAAAAAAGACTTCATTATTTCAGTATCTCTTTGTTTGCTTGTTTAATCGTCCCCTGGGACAATCTGTACTGTTAAGAAACATGTAGAAAACAGTCATCAGTTTTTGTTGTTGTTCAATTAGTGCTATACTCAGTGTTTGAGCTCATGCAAGTGTCCTTTGGGGAAACGTCCTGCGTGCCATTAGCACTATTCTTAATGAGGGAAAGCATGAAACTCCTTTAGTGCTCTGCCAGAATTGTTTTATCTTCAAGTCAAAAGAACAACTGCTTGGAGTAACCCCAAAAAAAGCATTTAACAATTACAAGTGGCAAACAATATTCCCAAGCATTATACTCATAGCACTTTTCTATTTATAGGCTAACAGTTATTATACTGAATAAAATATGTATTAGGCAGCTTTATTATGCAGACAGTCATGATTCCCCAGTTAAGGCTGCTACGATGCTTTCCATTATAAGCCCAGTTTTGATCCCTTTTACTCTTTCTGTGAGAGGTAGGGTGGGGAACAGGAGGATGTTTCATGTTTGGTTTCAAGACAAAGGAGAATATTTTTAGGAAGTTTGAGGTTAATTGGACATGCTGCTTTTGAGATATGGGACACAGGCATTTCTTTTTTCTTTTTTGAAGAAAAAAGCAGTTTATGGCAATGTTTTTGTTCATAAAAAGCTTTTTAACTAGTTCTCCAGAATTTCTTTAAAATACAAAATCAGAATTGAAAACTAGGTGAAAGGAAGGTCTAGACTTACAGCTCTAGGAAATACATAAAGACAAAAGATCTAGCACGTTTCCTAGCTACATTTATTTTCAAAAAGGCATGCAAGCTTTTTCCACTGCGAAAAAAGCAAAGCAACAATTAAAGAACACTAGACAAAAACAAAACCAAAAGCAACATTCTTAACTCTTATCACTGGTTCCCTCCCAATTACAGTTCTTCATAAACAGTGGGGGGCAGGGGGAATAAAGCATTCCCTCTCACAGTTGCTCTTTATCTAACTGTCCCCTCATTCTTCATGTCTCTAGGTTTTCTATCTCAGCTTCACAATCCTGACATCAAGCATCTTCACATCTCTGACACCTCCTTGATCCTAGCTTCAGCAGTCTTTAAACCCGCACATTCCTTTTTTTTGCCATCCCAATGACTACCTGGAGACTGGAAAATTTAATAACCAAGGTAAGAGTAAAGCTCTGGCTAAAAGTTTGCCTTTCATACTTGTCATACACACGAGCTCATTTAAACAATGCCTAAAAGCATTCCCTGTCTTCTCAGTGACACACGTGTATATTCTAACACGTGCCCTTACAAAGCATGCACAATGGACGCCAGCTGGCACAAACTCCCCTCACAGAGAGGCATCATGTAGAAGAGCTAGAATTTAAGTAGACGCTGTGGATGACCTACAGAAATGGAATGAAGGCAATTTATTTCAGTTGGATTTTATATACAGTCTTCTTAATGACGCAAGAACTACCTAATTACAGAAACAACGGGAGATCTCAGGGCTAGGCAGTATTATACAACTGCTGAGATTCCACAGACTTGCCACTTACTCATGTCACCTGAAGAGAGGAAAAAGGTAAAAGCACAGCCATTCCCAGTTCTAACTCCAGAAATGCAATGGGGGGCTGCGTATTTCTATCTTTCAGTTCTGTCCACAAAACCGCAAAGTTCAGGCATTTGTTTGAGAGACCGCACACCTGATTGCTGGAAAGATGGACAGCAGAGTCTACTTCTCCTCCCCCTTACTATTTAGTGTACTAATACCTCTTTGCCGTCCTTTCTTTTTACCTAGAGAGGTCAATAAGATTCATTCTCTTAAGTTGTCTTAAGATTGTAGTAAGAAAATTCTTTAATTCTATGACAACCTCACTCCAAGTCCCTGCAAGCATTAGGGATGTGCTGTTGTGTATGTAAGTGTGTGCAGGTCTGGGCCCGACAATTTAAGAATGTGAAGGTCCTTGAATGCACCCAGAGGAGGGCAACAAAGCTGGTGAAAGGGCTGGAAGGAATGTCCTATGAGGAGCAGATTAGGACTTTGGGCTTCTCTAGTTTGGAGAGGAGGAGGCTGAGGGGCGACCTCATTGCTCTCTACAGCTTCCTGAGGAGGGGACGTGGAGAGGGAGGTGCTGAGCTCTTCTCCCTGGTACCCAGTGATAGGACGCGTGGGAATGGTTCAAAGCTGCGCCAGGGGAGGTTTAGACTGGACATTAGGAAGCATTTCTTTACCGAGAGGGTGGTCAAACACTGGAACTTTGGTCAAACACTCTCTAGGCTTCCTAGAGAGCTGGTCAATGCCCCAAGCCTGTCAGTGTTTCAGAGGCATTTGGACAATGCCCTTAATAACATGCTTTAACTTTTGGTCAGCCCTGAAATGGTCAGGCAGTTGGACTAGATGATCACTGTAGGTCCCTTCCAGCTGAAACAGTCTATTCTATTCTAAAAGCTTTGCAGCTGTAGAGGCCTTGAGTCATCATACACATGCAGCAGGCCTCTAACTTCCTCTACTAGAGGTCTATAGTAATTTGGCCTGCTCTACAATGGACAAATACATCTTAGTCATTTTAAGAGGCTGAGACTTAAAACACTGGGGAAAAGTTTTAGAAATGCTGAATTGTTTCTGATAGCATATTTTCAGTTGTCTTCTAAAGAGTTTAGTCAGGTCCATTTTGATATTAACAGATATCTTTATGCAAGTCAGAAATCAATTTCAACAGAAATTTTTTCATTAATTTCTTTATTTTCAGGCTGCTATGGCTAGCTTAAGTTTACATATCTTTCATATAAAAAACAAAATCTAACTTTTCACGTTGGAAAAGATGTATTTTTTAAAAACCAAAACCAGTAATTTTTTTTTACTCAGAGGAGAGAATCTGGAACTAGAAACCTAACGTCAGGTTTGCTCACTTGCTTTGTAAGACATGGGTACTCTCAGAAGTTATCACACGGTAAGTTTCCATATGTCTGCTATGTAGGCGTAGTCTATTATGTCTGAGATGAATGCAAGCTAGTTCCAGGCAAGCTGCCCTTCAGTAAAAATAGAGGTGGGTATGCCTCTTTGAATTTACCCACACAAAGCCACATACTAAGAAAATAAAGACAAATCAGGTGAAGCAGCTGATGCAGGGTAACTGGTTACCCCATTACAATTTCGCTCACGTGGCAAGGCTGATAGCTTGTGTCATGAGGTCTCACAAAGATTCGTGAGGTAGCAGACCTCAAATGCTGCTGTTCTATAGATAGCATTATATGACTCACACAGGACTACAAACTTGAGGGGTTATTCAGACAAGGCTTACAAGTCTCAATGAGCTTTCAAAAATTTTTGTTCATAAAACTGAATGCAAGGATTTTCAGCTTTTATAAGCAGCACTTAAAATGAAAATCCAAACACATTTTCAGCATGTCAAGATACTCATAATATACTTGGACTAGTATTGTTCACAGTTTGAGGTCATCTGTAGAGTCAGAGTTTTGAATTGTCTCTTTCTTTTCATTGCCTCATTACAGTACTAAGTTATAAACAGCAGCAAGACACACACAGATTAAGTTGCTCTTTAAGAATAACTACTAATATTTAGTTTGAACAACCCAATGCACCACAGGTAAGAGGACTGTGGAACTGAATTAGAGCCATTGAAGACTAGCATGGCAAGCTCCTTCTGGTTCAGAAATGCTGAACTGAGCTTTCACTTAAGAGCTGTCTCACTCTTAACAAACTTAAGTTTGTGTAAGACATAAGTACAAGTTAACCTGTGCACTGTTTGTCTTGTAAATTACATAGATATATTTGCTGCTGGTTTATCAAATCAATCCTATGGACATTTTTAAACAATTAAATCATTCAGGGCAAATCTTCGGCTCTCCTCAGCTGAAGAAGTCTTGCCTGAACAAGGAAAGATATACAGGATTCCAAAATGTTTAAAACAAGATTGATAAACAGAAGACACTTTTATGCCATGACCAAGATGTCAAAGCAGCAGTTACGTATTTTGTTGCCACGGCAGTTGCCACAAACAAGGCATAACAATTTTAGGTGAGATTCAGATTGTCAGCAAAGATTTAGCAAAGAAATACGATTTGACAGCAAAAGTCATGAAAGCACTGGGACTTAGTGTCTCAAGGATGTTAGTAAAGACTGCTATTTACAGAGAGGAGCAGAAAAAGATGTGATTGAAACAGATATACACTCTGATGTAATGCTTGTAACACAGAGGCAGAAGCACATTCTGAGTCTTTAGAAGAAAGAAAATGCTAATCTGAGGATTTTAATTCATGAACTTTATCAACTCAGAACGGGATCATTTCACAAGATAGTCGCTCCCACTCTCCTCCCAGAAATTATAACCCTTCAGGTGGGGTAAATGAGTGTGTTGTACATACTCCTCTCAGTCAGAGAAGACCAGCCAACACATTTGTTAGAACTACTCCCAACTTCAGTTTAGGTCAGGGTCCAACTTTTTCCAGTTGTAGTCTCCCATTTAAGTCTTCGTTTAACTGCAATGATAAGAAGACTGCAGGGCAATAGCCTCTCTTATACCAGAGCTAACTTTGCTAACAACAAAGATTAATCTGAGTCCTGATTTATAACCATAGAAATGTGACAAATTCAGACCTGCGGCATGAAGAGGAACCACTGCTACATAAAGAGAAACTGAGCTTAGTGCAAAATAGCATACTTTCCCTGTTTTAAAATAATTTACCTGGAGATATAGCTCTGTGGAACTGATACATGTCTTCTCCAATCAGTTCTTGTGCAACCTGCTTAATCTTCCGTCGGACAGCATCTAGCTTGACTTCAGATTCATTTAGTATTTCTTCCCCATTGGGAACACTGCAATCATAAAACAGAAACTGAAAAAGCAGCTTTCAGAACATGAGCAAACAGTTAAAAAGTATTATATATTTTCTTTTACTAACCAATACATTTTCAATGGCTTCAGGAAAAAGCAAGCCGATACTGGAATGAGAAACAGTTTGACTTTCATTGATACCTACTGCAGATTCTGAAATTCTGTAGATTCTTACCATGAAAATAATCAACCACCCAAACACAGTTCTGGTAGCATGATGTTTATTCCAGACTAGAACTTTAGTTATTGCTTAAGTAAGAACAATGAGAAACACGTGCAAAGGCTTCAAAAAAGTATTCTGGAAAACTAGCAGTATTTGCAGAAGTCCTTCAACCTCTTAAAAAAAAAAATCAGTATTTTGCAATACTGTAATGCAATACATGATTTACTTCTATGTGTGATTTTTTTTTTTTAGGAAGTAATTATGGACTATGCTATTCAGGAACAGCTGAAATATCTGATTCACAACCACAATATATACTTGGCATTTAAAGTTTAGTTTATCTAATTTCCTTTCAACTTCCCCCTCCTCCACCCCCAAATAATCTATATGGTATATTAGTTTACAGTCTATTAAGGAACTACTGATAGACTGGTCTCGAGAAAACATTTAAAAGCAAACAGATTTCTGAAAGTAAAGCCACAGTAGCAGCGAAAGGCAAAGGAGAAGGAAATAAAAATACAGCATGGAAAGCTTCCACTCTCAGAAAAACAGGAATGTCTTACAAAACAGGAATCTAAAATTCAGAGTAAAGAGGAGTTTGTTGTTGTTGTTCTTTCCTCTACCAGTTCCCAGCTATCTAGCCCCCGCAGCTGGAGTAGCTATTTACAGTCAAGGCTGTAGCGGTTACTAGAATTATTGCAATGCCTCTTTGCAGAAGACGACCAAGTTAAAAAGAGGGCAACTTCATAATCCCTATTTATAACTTACTACTATGGTAACTATAAATAGTTACTACTACAGCAGAAATGCATTGATAGGTAACAAAATATAAATTAAAAATAAAAGGAACAGGGAGAGCTGTTATAACTGTAATACGCAACACCAATGTTTGACACATACAGTAAACTTTTTATACAACGGGCTATGCGAAGCTTCAAATCTTCCTGTTATTCTTCTAGTTTGACTGTGGCTTCCAAAGATTGCTTGAAGGCTCATGAGAACACAAAACATATAGAAGCTCAAAACTTCACACAAAAGCCTTGTAAGTTGCAGTATGTGTTGACGTAAACAGAACCCAGGTCACCTCCTCTTTGCACTGATGACCTAGGGTGAGGCCGCAAAAACTGAAACGGTGAAGTAAGTGCAGAGGCAACTAACGTGAAGGAAGGGTGCATGCTCTTCTCTCCCAGCTTGCTGAAAGCTGGAAAGCTCCCATCTGCTGTTATACTCTACTACTCTGATCCCGTTTAATACACCGATAAAATCAACTGAGAAACCTGAACCAGCATCTTTCAATTCTCTAACTGGAGCGTGCATGCATTAGCTCACATCCACCCTAAAGAATGTTTATGGGAAGTTAATTAAATTCCTCTCAACAGAACACGGCAGCTATTAATCACAAATACAGAGAACACTGCAAGGCAGCTTCTAGGTTTCTATGAACACTTTCATGCTCAACGTGACTCACCTGGTAAACCTGTGGAGCAGAAATATTGTTCTTTTGCTTTCAATAGTTATATCACGACTGAGCTTCACAAGCCGTTCATATTTATCATGCCTGGTGTCAAGCTCCAGCTGAAATGCTGCAGAGTCAATTATTACAGTAAGAAGCATGGTTATCACATGTATACAGCGTAGGGGAAGAGCAGAGTGCCTGTGCTACGGTAACCGCTTATGGGCCCCAGCCCCACCAGCCTTTTCCCTGGGGTGCCTTTTCCCAAGGTCGGCAGCGCAGCTGCTCCTGCATGGGGCACGGCTGCGGAGGCCACCGCTGCCTACCACCTGCCAGAGCTGCAAAATTCATCATTAATACTACTTTTGTTCAATAAGTCAGGTTTAAATATACATCAACCCTGATGATGCTTTAAGGCAGCCCAAACAATTTTAAGGTAAAATACTTGTTTTAACTAGTAAAATCTATTCTGCAATACTGCTGTTCAGGAAACTGACTTAAAATTACACCCAAATTCAGTAAGATAAATTAAAAAATAAAACCCGACAATCATTAGTAAATAAGATTCACCAGTCTCTAAAACAAAACAAACAAAAAAAGGCATCTAAGGCACGCACACTGTTAAAAATGCACCATTTAGTAAAAAGAAAGATTGCATTTCACATCCCAACTAGACTTGTCCAAAAGTCAAGTATTTTAATATCCCTAAGAACTAGAAGTACTAAAGCAAAGTGAGATCAATTACTTAAAATAAGATTTCTGACTTACTGATGTAAATTCTGCCTAACTACAGTGAACACAGAGAAGAGAGGATGTGTATCTGGTTATCACAGTCAAACATTATGAATGTTTCACAGATACCATTAACATTTTGTAGATCATTACTCCACTAAATCATTTATACTTACAAGAAATCTAACACATCTCCTGCATAACTGTCTGAGGTGTTAAAGTGTCCGTGCGAGAAGACAGTGAAAATAAGCTAAGAGGTTACATTTTTAAAGGGTCTAACAAGAGAATATCCTTTAGAAAAGCGTAGCAGTTTGCCGGCAAGCAAAGTTTAGATGAAGCTAAAACACCCCCTGTATTTCTCATCACCTTGATAAAAACTCAGTTCCTCTTAATTTTGTTCTGTTCTCCCCAATCTTCTTCTGAAACTCTAAGGTAAGTCGCAAATGCTCCCACTGATCTTTTAAATCTTTCATATGCTTGATTGGTGTGTCTCTTCCAAATTCTGAGAGTCAAGTCTACCACTGAATTATCATAAAGAAGAAATTTTCCCTCAGATCATAGTCACAGGAACTTGAGGGAGGGTGACTGGTACTTTCCTTCGTAGGATGCCACATATGACATTTCCAACGACCATTTACAAATTTCATCTACCAGGAAATTCACTATTCTGAAGATCTACAATATTAGTAATGCCCCCAATCTCTTCTGGACAGTTGCGGCTTTTAGACTTTTACATTAGATTTTAAACCTGTTAGGGACTACTAGGAAGTGTTTTGTGACCTGAAGTAAAACACAGACAGATACGGTAATCTTTAGCCTAAAAGGATGCAAACAGTACCTACTGTACTGTTGCCTAAAATTGCAAAGGATTAGAACTCGGGGGATTCTCCAGGCTGACATATCGAGACCACACAGCCATTTCCTCCACACATTCCATTTTAATGTCTAATCTATTACTGAAAGCAAAGACTTAGACTCTATTGATTTTGGTGGTGCAAAATCAGACCATTAAAAATGACACTTAATAAATCTTAAGCTTACAAACCAAGATACTACCCACTCTCTGAGCTGTCGTATTTAAAAATGTATTAAGCAAAACAAGGTGTAACGGAATACTCCTTGGGTTTTGATTCATTATTATTATAGAAGACAATTTCTCACTAATGTTTTAGAAATCTTTGGTGCCAACAAATAACTATATCAATTCAAGTACAACATTTTTCCAAAGAGATGAAAAAGAGCAAAATGTGTATAACCATTTAATTTCACACATTAAGTTGTTTAGATTCAGGGAACATAAATAGAAATAGTGTGCCACTCCAGTTCACCTTACACAGCTTGCTCAATTATAAGCCACCTGGAGCACACCTTTTCTTAACGCTTGTGCCTGACATGGAGACAAAGACCACCAGTGTCTCCATCTGGGGCTTATAAGCACTACAAAGAGTGGATCTTTGAAAAGCTGAATAAACTGTGTCCCTTACATCCTTTCTGAAATTAACCAAACGCTGCTGACTGGATCTCATGGGAAAAGAGGGAAACGAGTGTTGTTTTGAGTTTGAATTAATGGCAACCTTATGATAAACTGATATGCTTAAGGGTGAAAAATTAAAGTTGAAAGTACAGTTGCACTACTCAAGTCAAGCACAAGTGTATGTATGTTATTCAATATAAAAGTTCAGGGGTCAAAGTTAATCATCTGCCAAGCTGACTTACACAGAAAAAAAGAAATATCTGTTTTAAAGAAAGCAGGGAAATTATATGATGTCAAACTGACCATCTATAACAGCCATCCAGCTCTTACTTCTTCACCCTTCTTAGCTTCATAAAAAATAGGTGGGACAGGGAAAATTTTACACCAAGAATTAATCTGTCCCCCGCATCACATCTCCTTCCTGCTTCTGTCAAGGCTTCTCATTTCTGAAGCTCAACTTTGCCTTGTTAGGGCTTGTCTAATGAGAAAGTTCAACTAAATTTACTGGAGTTTAAATCTGGTTTTGTGAAAATCCTATAAAAACAAGGTGGTGGGAGAGAAGTTTACACTTGCTTATTTAAAGAAACGGAAATACAAGCTAATTTTAAAGAGGCACTCAAACTGAAATAAGTGTCTACACACAGATCTATATTAGTTAGCTAAACTCCTATTTTTAAAAAGTGCATGTGTGAACAGCTACCAACTCGCAAGTCAATGCATCCAGATTTACATTTAAAGTAGCTTAGTCATCTATGCACCAACAGCTAAGAGCCTTCTCAGTCTCCCCAAAGGTAGCCATCTCCTCCTCTTGTCCCCGTGGCTCAGATTTTGCATTACACCTCTGCAGATCTTACAGTTTTCTGCCACCAAAGGGCCCGGTCACCTTTGCCTGGCTGAACACTTATGCAATTTGCTTAGCATCAGGTTCAGCACAAGCGGGATGGGGAGGGGGAACAGCAGGTAGGATGAAAAAGGGAGCAAGTAATGAGTCGGGTGGAGCTATGTGAAATCCCACTCTCGGGACTTTACTGCACAAAAAGCAAAACACCAAGCTCTAAATGTATGAAGTATGAGTCCAACTAGTTTCAAGTTTCTCCCCCAGAGAAAGCTGGTTTATTCCATCACTAAGTACTAGTAATTTCCTAGCAATTTCTACACCACGTGTTTTTATAATCTGGCTTTCCAAATGCTTACTTACATTTAAAAGACATCATCATAGCTGAAGATGGATTAACATTCTCCTTTTCCTCTCTTCTTTGACCATGTGGAAAATTGTCATGCTTTCGTTTTCTGAACCCGCCCGATCCTATTAATAGAAGATACACACCAAAAAATAGTTTTGCCAGAGCGTAAGCAGCATCCGAATGCTGTCTTCAGAGCATTCCTGACTGTAGCCACATTTTACAGCATAGAATAAGGTAACTGGATGAACCTTATTACCAACTGACATCATCTTCATGTTAGTATGCTATTTTTTCCCACCACATTCCTAGTGAAAATTAGAAAAAATCCTACCAATTTCAATGGATGAGCGTGGTAGGATCCTAAGTCCTTTTCTTTTTTTTTTGTAAGGTCTTCACACCCTTTTATGTTTCCTTTCTGTAAGGCAATGGCTGCATGGAAATCCTTGTGTGAGCAAGGGCCTACAGGATTAGACCTTTTTTTTCCCCCCTTTCCTTTTTTTTTTTTAAATTTTAAATATTCAGTTTGACAGGAGTCATCAAAACTACAAGTTTTTCATTACTGTAATTATTCACGTCTTCAGTAATCAGAAAAAGAAGCAAGGCATAATTTAAGTAGACTACCATTATCCAGGTACGCAGGTTTAGCTCCTGCAGCGTAGCATCTTGGGTCCTTACGCTCTGCCCATTAACCAGTTTCTTCTCTTTTCACTCCGATATAGCTGTTCCCTTCAACTGGCCTTATATGCCTCTTCCTTAGCCTCCCTTTTCAAACCCTCACCTAGAACTCATCTCTTTTGGACTGTGTTTTACTACTGATTTACACTTTGTACTGTTTCTTCCTTTCATCCTTCCTTCACCTAGGATTGACTCATTGTGTCATTCATGTTTCAACCATTCCTCCCTCTCGCTACCTCCTTTTGTGACAGCTGTACACTTTGTGTTCCGAACAGAGGCCAAAATTTGGCAAAGTCTGACATACAAGCATACCTTTTTGAATATGTGGAGTTCTCTCAATTTCCTTAAAAGAAGAACAAAAGGAAGCTACTTAAAAGTTACAGACGAACACTGGATTTTAAAATGTTTCCGTTTAATTGTTTATTATCCCAAACCAAAACCAGAAGTGGGCGTAGTTACTTTTCTAAAAGAGGAAACTGAAAATCATTTTTTCCTTCTTTTCTGTTAGGACCCGAGTTCAGGGTTTTGTTTTTCCTGTAGCAGTTAAAAACATTACAAACACAACCCCTGAAATAGTGCAGAGAATTAAACTCTCTGCACTATTCCGAAAGTTGGGAACATCATAATGACCTACAGGAAAAAACAGGCCCTCCTGAAGATGGGGGGGGGGGGGGGGGGGGGGCGGAGGATCATACAGCTGGACTATCTATAAAGGGATGTCCTCAGTGTGGCAAGTCTCCTGGGGGTGTGCTTCGCCTTAATTTAAAAAAAAAAAAAAAAAAAAATCCAGCTTCCTTGTTGCAGAGCCTACTTTCTGGCTGAAGGGAGGTCTGTGGGACCGCCTAGGCTAAACCAACACACGGGCCACAAAGCAAGTGCTGCCTTATTGAAGGCCAGTTACCGCTACAAGCACTTTACAGGCCTAACGCACCCTCAGCTTTTGGCTGTAGCAACTGCTTTTTTACCACGAAGGATGATTTCTAAACCTACATTCACAGACATATCTGTAAAGCCCAAGTGAGAGGGCGGTAACACCTCTGAAGGAAGGGTCTCTCTCAGTGTAAGGGCAGAGTTTAGTGACACAGTTGAAGGCAACCATT